TTTTTGGGAGCTAAAAGCAACCCCCCCCCCACCCCCCCGGCTTTGTTCACCCAATCTGGTTATCGTCTCAGAGCTGATGAAGCGTAAGACAATGCAGACTGGAGGATGAGCTGAGGGACGGTAGCGGTCGTGGCCTCCGCCTGGCTGAACCCATTTCAGGGATGATTTGCTCTGACTGATATGAGCTGCTTGGATTACTATTGAGTCTCTTTGTTCCTGAACACGAAGGGGTCAAAACAAGCTCCTAAGAGCTTAGTGCTTCCTCCTCAAGCCCCCTGACAGATTTAAAACATGGACCCCGTTGCTGCTGCTGCTCATATCTTTGCCCTGCACACCGTGTCACAGATGTATTTCAGTCCAGAGGAGGAGAAAAGGCTGATGTGCTTCCTTTAACTTGAACAGAAATCCTGCTTTGAATGCATGTTTTTTAAGTACATAATGAATGACACGCTTTACAGGACAGCTGGTTTGTCTGTTCCTGAATTGGTCCAATTTAACTTGAACAAATGAACCTTTTTTCCACAATGTACCAGCAGCAGTATTGTTTCTCTGATCCTTTCCTCCCCGGAGATTTGACGACAGACTGTGTTCCTACTTCCACAACTTATAAAAGTGATAATTGATTCCAGGATTGTGCAAACCAACAATAAAAACATTTAATTACATTATGAGCTATTTGTTCTCTGTTCTCCGTCATTGCCACCTTGCTTCTCCACGCCGCTCCCAGTGAAAACATTTGCATATTTAAATTGGATGTGCTTGGCTTGGTCCTGTAGTCCCCCACTCCCCCCAACATACAACACCCTCCTCACCCTACACTCCCTTCATCCTTTTACTCCCCCTCTGGCTAAAAGCTAAACATTCAGTGGAGATGTGTTGAAGGGAATGAGGGACTGACCAAAAAAGGAAAAAAAAAAAAAAAAAAAAAGCACAAAACAAAAGGAAGTCCGAGCTGATCACAGACAGTTTCTGTTTTTATATCAGAAAAAAAGCACTTCCTGCAGGATGTGATCTGCAGTGAACACCTGCTCTAGAAAACTCTGTACAATATGGTACACAACATAGAAGTAACCAGATAAAATATGATGAACAAATGAATAAAGTTTTAAAACTTTTTATCTTTAAGGCCCAAAATATGAAAAAGGTTTTTTTTATTCAGAATTTTTTTTAACATCCAGAAATAAAGCTGCTTACTTTTTACCAGATCAGTATTTGGAGCCCTGTAAAATACCTCAAGCCCTTATAGTGTTTATCTTCTGTAAAAGTCTCCAATTTTATCATGTCCATGTTCATCTGAGGTGCTTGACTTAAGGTGGAAAGAGGGAGACAATAAAGATTGTAAAGTAAGTTTAACACCCCCCCCCCCCCCTTATAATTTGTGGTCTCATGTTATGGCGGCGGCTGAGTTATGGTGATGCTCTTGTAATGGAGACAGTAATAACTCTTTTATGTGCCGCCCTCAGCCTCTGAGTGCCTGCAGGGTTTTATTACATGGCTCCATGTGATATGCTCACTCACAGGCACAGAGCTGGTGGGTTGAGTGCCTGAAACAATGGAATTAATGTGTTGTGCTGGATTTGCATTTGCTATGATATGCATTTTTTCTGAGCCTGTTGATCAGAATTCATCAGAGAGGAGCAAGTAATGCTGTCTTCATTATTCTGCATGGATCTGCTCTACTTATGCATCCTTATTATTCAAACACACAACCCCATTTCTCACCTCTCTGGCCTGTACAGCACTTATCTCTCACTCTTCTCCTCATCCTCACCTCACATTTACAGGTACGTCTCTGTGGAGAGCTGTGATATCTCTTCTTTTCAAACACACAGTGTTTATCTCCAACACTAATACTTCATACTGTCATAATATAGACTCATGTAGATCCTGTGTGGAGACCTATACTAATGATGTTAGACAATAGAACAAAATACAAATGTACTTTTTACACAGGTCCACTGTATTTTATACTACACTATACTGTATTGCACTACACTGTAGTACTTCACAATACTGTACTATAGGACTGTACTATACTTTAGTAAACTAAACTAAATTAAACTATTATTCTGTACTATACTACGCCATTTCATACTGTGCTATATTACCGTACTTTACCACTAACCTAACCAATTCATGCTATACTATACTATACTATACTATACTATACCATTTGAGTGTGTGATTGTGTGATATAAGTGCATTTTTACTGATGCTGACACTGTGGGGCATCTGTGAAGTGCCTGTATTTGTCTTGTTTTTCTCTGTATTTTATTGCATTTTATCCTTGTTGTAAAGCACTTGGTGATTTTATCTATAAAAAGTGCTATATGAATTAAATTTACTTACTTACATTCATGTACTTATGTAAAATATTATTGTTATTTGGATGTATTTGCATATTTTTTTACATGAACCCCAGGAAGAGTAGTTTTTGCATGAGTAACAGCTAATGGGGATCCTGTTAACTAATAGACTTAACCATACCATACTGTACTATATCATACCATATTAGTGCTGGGCGATATGGAAAAAAATGTATATCACGATATGGATCATTTTATTTCACGATAATGATATACCACGATATAGCTATGGTATGCTTTCAGTTCTATGAAAAATTAAAGTGTATACAGCTGCCCTAGTACAGTGCCAGTACAAGACCAGCACTTAAAACTAGAAAAATGAATAAATACGTGGCTGAAGTGCGTTCATGTCTGTGCTCACCCAAAGTTATGCAACACTCACAGAAAACGCTGATGGTGTGAGCCAAAGCACTCCATAATAATAATAATAATAATAAATTTAATTTGTAATGCACTTTACATTTACAAAAAATCTCAAAGTGCTACAGTACACAGTTAAAAAAGAGCAGCAACAATAAAAAAAGCAATAGAATGACAGTCACAGATTGGCATAAAAAAAATAAAGAATATAGAGTTGCAATGTAAGAGGCAAGGTAGTAAAAGCATAGAGGAAAGCAAACCAAAGGCTTTATTAAAAAGGTAGGTCTTTAGGGCTCTTTTGAAGACGTTGTTCACACTGCTGGATGTTTCTCCTCCAAAGCTGCTCTCTGCCGTAGCATGAATCCGAGCGCTTTATTCGCCTATCAGGGGCAGACAGGTAAGGTGATTTGATTCGCCACGACTCCAGAAATGATTGAAAAACTACAGAATGTCACAAAATTACGTTTCCTCGCTCTTGGCTTGAAGAGTAGAAATGCGCAGCCGCGCTCCCAGCTGACAGGAAGTCAAACCACTGTTGTAGTTCTTTTGTGTTGCTAGAACGCAAAAAATGGACGCACCTGTTCATCTGGTTGTTCAACACGGCTGAAAATGATCATCTATTAATGTTGTTCCCGCTCCTGCCCACTCCCGTTGCTTTTTTTCCCGTCCCGTCCCGATCAAGGGATTGATTAAAAAATGACTCCCATCCCGTGGGATTCCTGCGGGAATCACGTGACCCACGGGAATTCCCGAAAAATGTTATCCTCTACAGGGAAGGTCCCGGAGCAGATGAAACAGGTGCCGGAGCGGCTGAAATAGGTCCCGGATCCGATCAAAAGAGGTCCCAGAGCGTGCGCCGGCTTGCTCCGGCACAAATTAAGCACTGCTTACAATGATCCCCTCACGTGTGTAACCCAGGTAACCCGCAACGGCGGGCGACGCTGGACACGAAGAGGGCATGTAAAGCGGCGTCATGTCGCAAAATCGAAAGAGAAATGCGAGCCTACATGTCAACGCATCCTTTTCTTTGTAAGAAAATATTGTTTTCTTTCCCGTTTGACACCAAATACACTTACTGAATGTGCAATTATTGTTGTTGTTACTATGAATCATCTGATGGCACAAGCCCTATGGATTAAATACAGCCTATCGCTCGAAACAATAAAAATAGAAATGGCACGATAGACATTTTTCTATCGTGCCCACGATATCTATCGTCCTATCGCCCAGCACTATACCATACCAGGGTTTTTCCTGCGTTCAAAATTGCGTGGCGGCCGCCTCCACCTAATTTTGTGCCGCCCCCGGCCAGAGCGACTGATATCGCTCAACACAGCGTAAAGCTCCAGCTGTGTCGATGAAGCGACTGAAGTCCCTCTGCGGCAGCTACGTATCTTAACTGCAGTTGCAGCGTTGCGCCACTATAGAGGCGCTATATCAGCAGCAGTGCACCGGAAAGACCTGAAGCATCTACCGAAGAAGAAACAGTCGAATTGTGTTCTCTCCAGTTTTTCCCGCTAGTTGGTGCTATCGGCGTCCTGATTTTCCCTGGCGGATGGTATGAACAGGTAAATACGGCTTGTCTTTTTTGCATCCAAGCATGTCGTGTTTATTTTTAAAAAAAGTTTCCTCCGTGTCAGAGTAACGTTTTTGATTTTTAGCGTTGCAGATATGTTCAGCCACTACTCTGTCACAAAGCAACTGGGTCTAGTTGTGAGGTAACATTACTTTGTACAATTTAATAGAATTGTGTAGTAAAAATTACTTCAACTAATTGAGATTTTTTTTATGTTTAGCTTTTTAGGACCCAACCATGTGGGAAGCATTGTAGTCCAAACCAGGGTGCTGCATTTGGGTGGAGTGTCTGCTGGGGATGCTGCAACTCTGTATGACAGCATCCTGCGAGTCATCAGAGAAGACAAAATGCTGCCAACTGACAAGCTAGCCTCCTTTGCAAGTGATGGCGCTGCAGTAATGATAGGTGAATTTTCCTTTTTTTTTTGCATTTACCTTTTAGTTAGCATCTTATTAAGATTGACAGTTATTTTTTTTATTAGTATTTTAGGGAGAAAAGCTGGAGTTGGGAAGAGACTCCAAGACTCATTTCCTGGTCTGATAACCGTACACTGCGTGGCACATCGTCTCAATCTGGCAGTGTCAGACTGCATTAAGGGGCAGAGGGCAGTTCATTACCTCACTAAATATGCCAGGACTGTTGGAACTATCTTCTGGTTCTACCAGGCCTCCAGCAATAGGACCAGCAGTCTCAAGGACATGGAGAGGCTTTTTGAACTCCCCCAAATCAAACTGCAGGTTAGCGATATTCAGTGCTAGATTATTCAGATCCAATTTTGCTTTTTTTGTTATTTACTATATAATTTTATGTAGGGAGGAAATGCTACCAGATGGGAATCTAATAAGGAAGCAACGGATGTGATGCGTCGAATTCTGCCTGCTCTCATCGCAGACCTCTCACTCCAAGCCCGGAATGAGCCAACTGCACAAGGACTGTATTCCTTTGTAAAGGACAAGTTCTTACCCCCTGCCCTGTGCCTAATGCAACTTGTGCATGAAAAGATCCACCAGCAGTTTTTGGTTTTTCAAAAGAGAAACCTTTTCTTCTCTCAGGTGGAGCAGGAGGTATGAGATCAATACCATAATCCTTGGGTTTTCTGTTAATTGGAATGCTGTTGCTAGCAAAGCTGTTGTGTTTTATCTCAGGTCACAGTGCTGAAATCATCACTGGCACAGCTGAAAGAGAGCAACATGGTCAAAGACCGCTGGCAGGCATGGCTCCAGTCTGATGCTGGTCTGAAGCCTCTACAGGAAGAGGTCCCTGCATATTTCCAGGATGATGTGTGGGAGAGCTTCAAGAACATTGTATGTATTAAGAATGTATTTGTGTAATGTGGACGAAGGACTGTTTTACCTTTCTTTTCAACATCTTCTACAGGTGATGGAGCCATTCCTGACTGCACTGAATGAGAACGTCGACAACAGATTCCCAAACACCGGCAGTCTGTCTGTCTTCAATGTGTTCTCTCCCAGACAAATTTTGTCAAACTCTAGTACAGAGTATGGGGATGCTGAGATGAGGACACTGGCTGAGGAGTTTCCAAGACTGAGTCTGACCTGCTGTCTGAGTGGAGCTCATACAGACTGAGAGTGGGGAGTCCTGATCTGAAGGTACTATATATTAAGTTACATTAACTGTATCACCACCACAACAGTCTGGTTTTACTGAATAATTTCATTCATCTTTGTTTTCACCGCTTTTATTCAGACCAAATCCCTGGAGGAGGTTCTTCTGTGGCTTGTATCTGCAGAATCTGCTGAGCTGTATCCCACCCTCAGCCTTGCAGCTGCTATCGCCCTCACAGCCCCTGTCCAGACTGCAGATGTGGAGAGGCTCTTCTCTGCACTCAAAATTGTAATATATGATTGAAAACACTATTACTCTTCATGTCTGTATCAGAATAAATACAAAAATACTTAATGCATGAAGTATGCATGAAATGTACTTTCAATTTAAAGTTGCCAGCTGATTTGTGTATGTATATAGTTTTAATAAATAAATGCTTTAACATGATAATGGTCATATTCTTTTTGGAACTCTTAACTTTAAGTATGTTGCCTGTAAAAGAAAGTGAGTTTTACAAAATACATGCACGTCATGGCACATGGTCAGGATGGTGCCACCTCTGCCTCAATTTGAGCCAGGAAAAACCCTGCATACCATACCATACTATACCATAATTGACTAAACTCTACTCTCTATGATTTACTTTTCTTGTTCTGCACTCAAAGGTGGGGTAGGCAGGTTACTGTTAAAGAAGCATCTTTTTTGTGGTGTGTGTACGAACTAACTTTTAATAGTCATTAGCTATTAGCCATTGATGACATTTGGGAATGTAACGATATGGCTGTGTTTGGTTATGTCTGTGTAGTCAACATTTTAAAAACAAAGCCATTCTCCTCCTCCCCCATCCTGATTGGTTGTGAAGTAGACGCTGCTCCTTAGTGCTGATTGGTTGTGAGGCAGACGCTGCTCCCCCATGTCATTCAGGAGCCCAAACAAAGTTAGCATGCTACAACACCGGACAGTAGAAACCAACCAGAAAGTACAGAAAATTGTCTGAATCCTCCTTCAGCCACGACTGCCAACACAAGCAGAAAAACAAAGTAAATACTGGAGACTCTGGTGGAATAACAGGCGCTTAAAAAGGCGGTAGACCGGACAAGAGCTTAAAAGCCAGGTCAACATCAATGAAGCATGAACGCTTCAGGGACGCTTCGTGATCTTATGGACCTTGTATCCTTTCTGCTGGACAGGTAAACCGCTTCAAAAAAGTAAGCTAAGTGTATGTAACAGATGTGTTTCTTGTCAAACAGGACCTGCTGCGTGTTGTAGCGCCGCTAAACTGTTTAGCTCAGGTCCTGGAGTATGTCACTTTATCCTAGTTGTAGAAGTCCTGCAAAAATTGGCCCTTATTTATCAATCTTGCGTAGATCTGAGCGCAGATTACCAGCTCTATCCGGGCTTTCATTTTATCATGTCCAACCATCATTTTGGCAATAGTTAAGTACCTATAAAAATTTTTTTACAGGTTGATATCAGCCACTCTAGTTGAGCTAGACTGCATTACTTGCATCATTACATTACAAAAATGTAGAGAGGGCATTTTGGAGGATGCCAGTTTTTATGGCTTGAGTATATTTCTTGCATGTTCTGCTGTTTGCCATCTGGCCAGATCTGAGCAAATCACAAAGGCCCTCATTTATCAATCTTGCGCAGATCTGAGCGCAGGATTCATTGTACGATAGGACACACATGATATTTATGAAAGGGTTCGTATCTGACCAATCCCAGCGTACGTATGATCGGGTCTTGATAAATGCGACGGCTGAAATCGATCATCATTAACATGTCAAGTCAAGTCAAGTTTATTTGTATGGCACATTTCAGCAGCAGGGCAATTCAAGGTGCTTTACATGAAACAAGCAGGCAAAACATTCAACACAATTTGAAAAGTAAAAACAGCGTAAAAGACATTTAACAAATTAAAAGTTACATTCAAAGCTAAAATAAGGATGGAGATAAAAGAAGACAAAACTTATCAAGACAGGCAAATGATGAAGATGTTGATTAAAGGCCTCAGGTTTGATTTAATGATAGGCCACGGCAAACATATGGGTTTTCAGCTGTGATTTAAAAGAGCTGAGAGTTTCAGCAGACCTACAGTTTTCAGGGAGTTTGTTCCAGATATGAGGAGCATAAAAACTAAAAGCTGCTTCTCCACGTTTAGTTCTGACTCTGGGGACAGAGAGCAGACCTGCTCCTGATGATCTGAGCGGTCTGGATGGTTCGTAACGTACCAGCAGATCAGAAATGTATTTTGGTCCTGAACCATTCAGTGATTTATAAACCAGTAATAGTATCTTAAAATCAATTCTTTGACAGACGGGAAGCCAGTGTAAAGATCTGAGAACTGGGGTGATATGATCTACTTTAAATATTCCCTTAAATATTCGTGGTTTAGAAGCCTCGCCCACTGAGGTCAAACATGAAAGAGGAGAAATTTGAGAAAGATTCGAAACTTTTCCGAGCTGAAAGTGGATATCCTCACATCTGTGGTGGAAACTAACAAGGATTTTCTCTTTGGAAGCATCAAAACTGGTATAAAGCAGTCCAGAAAACTCCTGTCTGGAGCAGGATTATGATGGCGGTGAACAGCGCTGCCACGGAATAGCGGACAGTGGCTGCAGTTTGAATAAATCATTAGTCAATAAATTGCTCATGATGATGAATTAATATCTCATACATGCCTCATATTTGTTTATTGCCATGACATTAGGTATGTTGCTCCTATTATTGAAAGAATTTAGTTTTAATTTGTCGCGTCTTTGTAATGTAGAGAAGACTGGAGAGTCTGACAGAGGCTGAACAAAAATAATTATTAACCTCACCAAACAGTGTGTTTTTATTTTTATGGATTTCAATTGGATTTTTATCACTGAATAAATAGCAAGAGCACTTTCTAAACTTATACTTTACATGTCAGAATCCATCGATAAGGTCCTGTCTCCTCTGTACAGCACCTTTGTGGAGTCTCTCCTCATTATCGTTCTCCGGGAGTCAAACACAGCGCTCCACAGTGGCGTGTGTGCGCAATGTTAAAACGGCGCTCCTGCTCTGTGGCAGTGTTTCTGGCAGAGTTATCAAATAGGCCTATTCACTAAGGACATAACAAATTTATTTTATTTCATTTTATTTTATTTACCTCTTAATCTTTAATGAAATCTGGCTGATTGTGCTTTGTGACAGGTTTGAGGTTTGTTTATCAATTATTTTGAGACAGACATTTGCTGCACCGCAGATCCACACTGACTCAAACTTGCGTACACGATGTCAGACCTGTCATGAGATTTGGTCGTAGCGTACGCTCACGTGCAGATTGATAAATGCCGATTCTCACGTCAAAATTTTCATACGCAAAGTGTACGCATGTTTTCTGCCGTACGCAAGCTTGATAAATGAGGGCTGTTGTGTTTGCTGGTAGTCTGTTGGCATCTACAGTAGCACCAATGCTTTTTACTTTGATGTTGACTGGGCCTCATTTGTAATTATCTGAAGTATTTATCTGCATTATATCTGAATTGAATTGGAACGATACGAGTGAGCAGGAGCTGGTTGGGAGGGGTAGAGTTTACATTCAAGATTCCTCTCAAAAAATGGTACTTCTTCAGATCCTGCCTACCCCACCTTTAACTATCCTAAACTGAGTGATTTTGGGGTACAATAAAATTATTAGAATAAATCGATCAGAACAAATCTGAAAAACCTTTCAGGTGGAAATCTGTGCAAACTAAAGCTGCAGTAGTGTTCTTACATTTTACTGCACATTTCTATGATAGACCATGAAGTTTACAGCAGCCTACATCACACCTGCTCAGTCTCTCTCATGCCTTTTTCAGTGTCTCCTAATACACTATTATGCCACATTACAATCAAAGATTTTAATCTCCTTTGCTGTATGTTGTCAAACAAAGCCCTCCTTGATTTGTTTGCAGATCCTCCTGTAGTACCTGCTCCTTTGCTCCTCATTACCAGTATTTGTTTGCCATCTTAAACGCAGCAGCGGCTGTAATCCCACCCAGTAGGTTCCTCCTAATCAGGGTCACATTCAAGCTCTGTAGAGCCCTGATCAGCCCCGCTTCAGCCTCGCTCTCACTGCAGCCAAGCTTTCTCCTGCTGCAGCTTCTTCCTCCTCTATGACCCGCTGTGACCCCTCATCTGTTTGCACAGGCTGTCATACTAAATGCGTACCTGGTTCTTAAGAGCAGAGGGGATTGTGGGAAGTGGCTTTCTTCAGAGAAAGTGCCACACAGCAGAGCTTTGCAGGAGCTCAGACGATCATTAAACCTCTGATTCGGATTTCAGTCTGGTTGTCTCATTATCTGTAAATTGGATTCATCAGGTAAAAGTCATCTTGGGATACTAATCATCAGAGAGGAAATTCATCCTCCTGTCACTGCCAATCTCCGCAGCTGCACCTTTTTTTCAAAAATATGCACTTCTCTAGTGTGGGGTTAAGGTTCTGCATAATTGGGGGTCTTTACAGAAGCAGCTGGGCGGTGAGGGCCTGTGCAGCATGGCCATGCTGGGTTGATTTGTCGTGGGGTCCACATGGAGCAGCAGGTGGAAAGTTCTTTTATTAGGCTAATGGCTGTGAAATGACTGGAGGGGCCTGGGGAGATCTGGAGGATCTGTAATGTGACGGAGGCTCCGGGGGTGTTGTGGTGGTCAGGGCTGGCAGGAAGAGGTGTGTATGCATGTCATAGCTCCTCAGACAGGGATGAAGAGACACAGACATGCCAGTGGTTGCAGAAATTAGCAATTTTAAAGAAGTACAAATGGATTTAAGGGGTGATTACAGTATTTTTGGACCCCCAAAACATGCTCTTGCTCCAGATTTCTTCATCCTGCAGCAGCGAAACAGGCTACAATGTTTGCAACAAAATACTGACAGGCCCAGATTGTTATTTAACAATCTTGGCCTGTAAATTATTTCTGCAGAGATAAATTCAAATACATATCATGGATATATATTTTTTTATTTATAAAGCTATCCTTGGCAAAAGTGCACCTTCCTTTACTCACTT